AACACCCTAAATCGACGGCCGACCCAAATCCTCCGATGTTTGCTTTTGAAGCTGGCTGATGCAGCCTATCACAGCCGCGGCACGAGCCGAGAACGCAGCGCAAACAACGGGAGACAAACACAAAGAGAGGCAGAGGTACGGAAACAACCAGATTCAATTTAGACAAATTAAAGGTCAGACAGAGGGGGCCGAGGATGTGAGTGAGGAGGGGCGGTGGGAGGCAAAGAAGAAGAGTTTAGAGTGTGTGTGTGTGTGTGTGTGTTCATTCGAGTGGCGGATACAAAGTGGTCAAGGCTCAGTGGTCGGTGATTTGACCAGCAGTTAAGGGGTTGTTCAGCGGGGGAGGGGGGGTGTCAGTGGACCCAAACTCCGTTACAGACGTCAGACATCATGGAAAGCCTCCGTTGACGTTATTGAATTCAACTAAAATCATTCAAGCCTAAAGTTCTGGCTGTTTAAGACGAGCTCACTTTTGCGTATCAACTAATGGAAATGCACCTACATAAATAAATATATTCCAGCTGTTTTCCCCCTCATTTCTTTAAATAGCAGGTTGACTGACACATAAAGTGTGATTCTGCCAAAATTGGTGGTGATGCAGAATTAATTTTGCATACAGGTAGTGAGCAGACTTGTTTAGAGTCTTGTTGGCTTTCTTGGAGTTGGAAGACAATGATACCATTCTCACATATGAAAGGAGTACATGCCGCCTACGTGTGGATCAATGCACGGAATGCATTAGGTCTGTTGAAAACCCTCTCAAACGCCTTGAAAACCTGGCAACGTAAAAGGCAGATGGTGTACAAAGATATAAAATGTAGGCTTGAATCTCAGAATGTGTTAGCTGGGCTTAGCTGACAAGCTGGAAGCAGAGGGGAACAGCTAGCCGTGTCACCCCAAGGCTCATTAAAGAACACGTTACAGCTCGTCTGTTTTAATACATACAAATGTTGCACCGTTTGCGATTTTATGGGGAATTATGTGCAGTGCACAATGACCTCCTGGAAGCCTCCATCGAACGCTGAAAGGACTTTGACTTTGGTGTTAGCACAGATACGACATCTAATATTAGTTATTCAGTGATCTTAAGACGCTCTGACAGATCTTTGCTCTTGGACGTTTCCCACTGTTTCAAGGCTTAATGCTAAGCTAACCGGTTGCTGACTGCAGCTTCGTATTGAGCACAAAGAAGAGAGAGAGAGAGTGGTGACGATCCTCTGGGCGAGGAAGCAAAAATGTAAAATGTCAAACACTTACTCATGCAGGCAAATGGGCTTTCAAGTGTAAACTGTTTATCCTTCAAAACGCCAAAACAGAATCATTTGTTGGGGCTGAATGTAAAACCATATTTAGCAACCACCGACTGCCATTAAATACAACACAATGGCTGTGTGGGTTCTCACTAGAACTACTCTAGAATTGGAGAGGTTTGATTAGAACCATGTCTTTGTTCTTGTTTTTCTTATCGCTTTTGTTTTGTCTCCCCTGGATGTGTCTTTTATTTTTTATATATAATTGATTTATAATTTCAGTTTCTCCCCCCTCTCTCTCCCTCTCTCTCTTAACATATAGACATACAGACACACACACAAACGCACGTTGAAACCGTGAGGTCCTTCTCTGTCACTGAGCTGTATTTATAAGCCAGTCCATCAAGCAGCCCCAGGGACACATGCCACTATTCTGTGGACCAAGACCACCGAAGTGCCTCCAAACCGAACATTATGATAGGACGAGTGTGTGCTGTGTACTGAACGGCTCTCTGTAAGCAGATATATAGGCTACACTTCAATACAGAACACATACACTACTGGAGGTCAAGAGAGAGAGAGAGAGACCGAGAGGGTAGTGTAGAAGAAGACAAAGGGGAAGACCGACCGAGGAGACGGAGGTGGAGGCCATGCGGGAAAGAAGATATGAAAGGAGGGGGATGGAGGCGGGTGGGAGGGGAGGAGGTAGACGAGAGAGAAACGAGAGGGCGCTCGCGCCCGCCGTCCGTCTCCGCTGAGATCTATGTCCTCTTCTGTCCAAGGTCACGACTGTTACATGGGAGCAAAGCAATTTCTCGGACTAGCGCGCGCGCGCACACACACACACACACACACACACACACACACAGACACACACGCGCGCTCGGTGAGGTACGGCTCCGCCGATAACTACAAGCAACCATTATGGATTAAAGCAATTAAACCAGAGGCGACCTTTGACCCAACATTATACCACCGTCAGGATCTTGTGTGAATCATACGACGTGCGCGTAAGAGGACGGCACGCTTTGCATGTGCTTGCCTCTGCACTAACTGCTCGCCCCCGATGTTAACCTTACAAAGCAATACAGCCCCCCCCCCCCCCCTCTTGTATGCCCCTGCTTCTTGGGGCCAATCCAATAAAAAGCTTTGAGGAAACTGTAGTTCGAAGACCAATTACAGATTACACTAAACCTCATGACCGTAACGTAAACCGCAGCTTTAACCATTTTGCGTCTGTTTCCCCGCCCTCCCTGCAGACTTGTGATAATTCACTTATTCATCCATTCATGCGTGCAGTTTGGAAATTTGGAGTTAAATCATCAGTGGGAGGAAGCACAGGGCTTCCGGTGGCGCTGCCGTGTTATTTCCAGGATTGAAGATGTGTATATTTAGAGAGAAAATTTATAGAGAATATACATACGTTGGCTACGTACAACAATAAAAAGAGAAGAAGAAATTCCACCCTGCTGAAAGGATTTTGGAAAGAAGGTAAAGATGAGGACGGCAGGACCAAAATGAACCATGGGAGATGCCCTCAGGGTTCAGACGTCCGGTGTGTTGGGCTCCCTCTGCTGGTGTGCACAAAGACTCGCCTCCTTCTCACGCGGTGGATAACAAAGACTCGCAGAGGATGCTCTCCACCAAAAAAAACTTTGGACCGAGCCCTTCCTCCCTGCTGCACGTCTGCAGCAGTTTAGAACAATTCCTTCACAACTGAGTTTTTTTGTAAATGCCAACAATTTTGGAGGAGATCAATAGCTACGGTGGTAAACGCAGCTTGTGGACAGCTTCACACTATTTTCCCCGCTAACAGTATCAGCTCTATCAAAGGGACTTTGTTCTTAATTGAGCCTTTAAGAGCTCCATCCCTCTCCTTTTATGACAGCCTTGCTTTCTACTCGAGGGACTCGGAGGGAGGATTTCCTAGAATAACACAACTACAGAGATACGTGGGTGGAGAATATGCACAAACACACACACACACACACACACACACTGGCACAAAGAAGAGCAATCCCTCAGCTAAGTCTGCAGTCACAGCAGGAAAACTGGCAGGGCCCGAAACGGTAGACGCAGGGCAGAGAGTGGTTTACAAAAATGGCTTCATTGGATTACTTTCCCATCGGGGTACATGCACACACGCAAGTCGGTCAATGGGCTTACAGCTGCCAATTAGGCCAGTGGTCTGAAACAGCAGGAGAGAGAAATAACCACGCAGCGGTACCAAGTCCACGTGAATGAGTCACAGGCGCGGAGTGCCTTGGCACAGTATTGAAAAGCGTAGCCGATGAACGGCCGCATAACCTGTCAACAAAATGAGAGGCAAAGTCTGACATGACTAAAGCGCACACACACACACTAACGGAAAGTCGCACATGTCGCTTGGCCGTTTATCTAAATCATATCAATAAGAGTTTCCTTTGGCTTCAGGTTGGTTTCATCATTTATGCTCATTTCAATGAATATTTCAACATTTCTCCTTCACATGCTTTGTCTCCTGCCGTTAAGAGACCCCGTGCGTGTCTGTGTGTGAGTGTGTGTCTCACCGCCTATCTATCCTCCAGAGCCTTTGTTCTGTATGAACTCCACAGGGCTGTGACACACATGCAGCGGCAAACACCTTGTGCCGTTAAGTCAGCCACACACTGCAGGCCAATGGCTGTCATTGTGTACAGGGGTTCAAGAGGGAGCCTTTCGGTGTTTAAATGTGGTGTGCGTGTGTGCGTGTGTGCGTGTGCGTGTGCGTGTGCGTGTGTTTGTGCGTGTGTGTGTGTGTGTGTGTGTGTGTGTGTGTGTGTGTGTGTGTGTGTGTGTGTGTGTGTGTGTGTGTGTGTGAGAGAGAGAGAGAGAGATTTAGTAAAAAAGAAACAAATACAAAAGACATCAATGAAGGCAAAACCTCGTGCTCATGACACAGTCAGAACTGGACTGAATGAAAAGAATCACACAGTGACAATCGGGTCACAGCTGTGGCCTCTCAGACTGTGACAGCCAGCAAACAAACAAACAACAACAACACTTCCAACTACAGTTCAAATAGCCTACAATCTGTTTTATTAATCCGTGCGTATAAGTTTGCGCGCACCGCTCCGTCCTTTTTTTCTCTCCGTCTAGTTCAACTCTCCATTAAACAAGTCAGCTGCCATGTTTCAGCCCACGGAGCAGACAGGAGTAGTTAAAGAGTAAATGCGTTGGCTAATTTCGCGGCCAGCATCGATGTTAATACAATAACTGAGCAGCCGCGTGCGACAAATGTAACGTGATTGCTGCTGCTCCTCTGAGAAACACGGCATTCGGCTTGAGCCAGAGGAGGAACACACGTCGGTGCTGCACAATGGAGGTATCCAAAATCAAGAGGCGCCTTGGCACCGATGGCGCAGTGTTGTTTTGGCATCATCTTTACAAGTTGGGTTACTTTAATGGAAGACATACAGCTGCAGAGATGAATAAGAAAGTGAGACATCTGCGTCCGCCCTCCTCTATCTCCAGCATGGCCCGTGCGTATATTTCATACAAATGTAATGTCAACCCCCCCCCGCCCCATCTCTCTCTTCCCGCTTTTCTATATGCATGATTCATAACCGAGCCGTGCACAAAACGGGAGTCTCCGGCACTCACGCTCCTTTTCCCCGGGAAATGGCATGAGGCGCGAGGGGGGGAAAGAGACTCCCGTTCCGCCGACCCAGCGCACAGCCAAAGTCATCCACGAGTTAAAGGTTCCAGCGTCGAACCCGCCAGGGCACCCACCTTCATTCTCCGGGTAGTTCCGCACGGCTCGGCACGGCGTCAACCCGTGGAAGATCAGAACCAAGCAGGACAGGAGGTGGAGGGATGGATAGATCCACAGGATGCGAGGTGGTGCCATTTTTCAGGCTGCGCAGCGCGCTCGCTGCATCCCTGTCGGCGGTGTCGAGTCGGTGAGCGCAGCCCTGCGATTGAAGGGAGAGAGCGAGGGAGGGAGGGAGGGAGAGGGAGAGGGAGAGAGAGGAGTAGACGCTGGGAGGGTCCAAAACCAGCCAAGTCCTGTCAATCAACCACCTGGAATGGAATGGGCCTCTCTAGAGATTCTTCACACTCGCTGCACTGTAAGAGGGAAAGAAAATGTAATCCATGTGAACAAGTGAACGGCCTGATGTTGAGTTTTTATATAACTACACACATATATATATATATATATATATATATATATACTTTGTTATTTCCACAATCTCGTCCTAAGGCCCTGATGTGAAAACCAACGTTGTGCTGCAGACGGAGTAAAAGCCCGAAACCCTTTATGGAATTAAATAGCGTTCTTGAAATGTTTTTGCAAAGGTGATACATGACTGTATTGTAAAAGTATTTCTGGGCCTTATAAAATGGTCAGATCGTTGGGGATCAAACAGCGACCGAAGGGTTATCAGTGAGAATCAGAAGCAAATCCAGTCATGATCTATAAGTTTGGACAATAATGTAACGCAGATGAACTTAGAGTTTGATACATGTATTTATTTCACATCCAACACACCGGACAATATCATTAGAATCAGACAGTAAATTACAATATTAAGGGCAGGAAGCCGTTTTAAATGGAAAAGTCGGTGCGGTGGACCTCAACAAATCAACCATCTCATTACGGACAGAGCTGTTGGTATCTAAGTATTGTCAGCAAAGCATCAGTATAAACACTCCCATTTCACTCTAGAAAATCCTCAATTATTTGGGATAAGAGAGACGGGCAAGTGGCAATTACTGGATTAAAGTCAGCTCTGATTTTTCCCTGTTGGGTCCTGCAGATGAAACCAGCAGACAACACTGACATACACAAAAGATCCAATCAAACCCTTTGTCGAGATTTATTCTACCCTTAATGTGTTTGATTGCGTCAGGCATGGGTGTGTTTTGTGTGTGTAACTCGCTGTTGGTATCGAGCAGTCTTCAAACATGAATAAATAACGCGTCCTGTCGTTTGAAATGTGCGAGGACGAGCTGAGGACTCTTCAATCCTCCTCTCGTTTATCACTGCTCATGTGGCAAAATCAGCCCGCCTTCCGTCTGCTTCAGGCTGTGTTTGTGTGAATGTTCATATACTTCTTTATCATAAGTCAACTTCTATTCTAACCGATTCTCTTCCATGTGACTTGAGGTCAAAACAAAACATGATGAGTAAATCAAATTCCACATAGATGCAAAAAAAGCTTGGCCTGGCTCTGTCCGGAGGTAACAACCTCCTGTAGTACGCCTCAACCTCACTAATTAACATAAATGTATTCTGTACAACAGCAAAAAAAAAGAGAAACGATGAGCTGGCAGACTATTTCTTGTCCGGGCGCACTGTGGTGCGTGATTTTGAACACGCACACACTGGGTGAAATTAAAATCTGATTGGATTTCCAATTTGGCATTTTTCTTGCTGTGAACAGCTGCATGATCCCATAGGTCACCTTATTTATATCTCCCCTGCAAATGTATCGCTGTAACGCTACCGTGATTCATGGAAGGATCGTGACCACAATTATATTTACCACCAGTAACGTTCTCATATCGCGCTTCTGTCTCAAATGAGGCTTCGGAAAGGGCCATAAAACTGTCTAACATGCCCTGATTTATGCAAAAAAAATCTGTTTTTCCCCCTTCTGGCCATGTGTGTTTCTGTGGAAGCGTGTGATGGCTTTGGTGTTTTTTTTCCTTGCGAGTGTGTGAAGCAGCCACCTCCAACAGATTTGTTAAGGGTCCAATTATGGTGATGATTTGTTCCCCGCAATGGCTTTACGTGGATGACCTAATTTCCTCATTGAGTGGGGGGAAAATACTAGCCCTTTATTCTTCTCCCTCCACTCACTCCTTCCGTATTCGTCTTTCTTCTTCTCCTTCTTCTGCTGCCATGACGCTGCATTCATCCGCGCGGTGACAAACATTGCTGTCATGCATTCCAGCGGTGACAGCGTGACGAGGCCCCTTAAACCCTATCACTCCCTCTACCTCGCTCACACACACACACACACACACACAGACAAACATGGTGCATGCCCGGAAGAGTGATCTCGCCAGCGCTAAGCCCCAATTTTGCACAATGACATTTCAAGGCTGCACATTCGTAAGCAAACGCATGCAGTGACAACTCACTGACAAGGGCTGAGAGACAGTAGCCTCGCACAAACATTTGAAATATGTCATGTATTTCCGTCCGCCCTCACACACATAGTTTTATCTGCGTTTTGCATTGTTCACTCCCTTCGCCAAAGCTTACAGAATTTATTTCCACGAGGGAGCACGGACCCTTTCCTGCCATTTCGCTCAATTTAAGAAGAGCTCTTCTCATATTGTGTTCGACCCCCCCCACTCTTATTTCTTCCCATTAACACACACTTTTCCCTCAGAGCTTTCCGTTGAGTAAAAGGCACTGTGGATGTATCTTGGGTAGGCGCAATGGGCTGGCTAGCAGGAGTGTGTATTAACTGCATGTGCCAATGGCGACGATCGCTTGTTTGACAAGGGGCAGAGGTGATGACAGGGTCATCTGCCTTTCCAGCGACTCCCCCCGTAGCCGCCACACTATATACACACACACACACACACACACACACCCTTAGCCCTATTCAAAGCCACTCACTCATGTGGTAATGTCTCTATTGTGACAGCCTGAACGCTTTATGGGCAACAGCTTGGTGCTGGCGTTTGGGCTGAGGAATCAGTGCGTATAAGAGCGTGTGCGCAGATCTCCGCTTTGGAATCGGACCATCAAGACCTCGAAGCATTGAGACCCGGACAAAGCTAAATCTGAGGCAGGGGAGCAGGACAGGGGATGGGTACAGGTACGAAGATGGGAAGACGAGGCTGCACAAACACACACACACACGCACATCATTCCACCTTGATCCGCGCTCACTTTTCAAGCAGGCAGAGCGATTCGTCATGTCACAGAGCCCCGGTGCTGCCATACAACAAAAGGTGAAAGGGAGTGTGGGAAAGGGCTGGTGCACAAAGCCCTCCCTGCCCCCGTCTGTCTCCCTGTCTAGGCCGCATACGCACCCACCCCTCTGCAGTCTTCAAGGGCCCCCATCACATCAAGAACGAGGCTGCTGCTTTTTTGCTGCAGCCACCAGCGATCTTAACACGTGTGAGCTCGTAGACAGCGAGCTAAAAAGTACCTAATCGTTAGATCCGGGAACCCCCCCCCAAACAAAAGCTTTCGCTCGGTAGAAACACAAACGTCCACCCACCGGCCCGGAGAAGAGATGGGCCAGAGTGAGGGATATTAGGGTTTAAAGAACCAAATCGTTCAGGGAGAAAAGGCTTCCAGGGCTCTGCCAACTTCAAACGGCAAAAAAAAAAAAAAAGAGTGAGAAAAGAGTGGGAGGTTTTCCGTGAGACTGCCCCCAGCTATGCGAGACAGAGGAGCCAAACAAACCTCCCGGAATTTGGGGGGATATTCACACTCCTTCAAGTTTCTTCTGCGGCTAATTGTCTCAGAGACAAAATAGGGGCGTTTAACCCCCCCCCCCCCCCCCTCCACACACACACACACACACACACACACACATAGACATTGACTAACTGCTGACTGAAAAGCCAAGTGAATGTTGTCCAGCTGAGCCCAGAGGAGGATGTTTACCGTAAGTCTTGTCAGTGTCTTACCGTCTCAATCGCGTTCTTTCCAAACAGCGAAATAATTAACAATCAATGGAAACAGCCTGTATCACATTCCTGCCAGAGCTGACCTGCTGGTCGATGAGAAAACGTTCAGATTCACCACGAGGTGAGGGTGAGGTGGGCAAGAATTTAAACAAAAAATAGATCTTTATATAGCCTGTAGGCTATGTAAAGATCTATTTTGATCCGACCTTGAATGTCATACATGTAAATGTGAACACGGAGGGAGAAAGGAAGGATGGAGTGATCATGACAGTCTGTTGCAGGGAGAAGAGGGAGAGATGCCAAACTGGGCGCTCAATCATGCTTGGCTTGCACAGGGCCTTATATTAATATGCTGGCTGAGATCGGGTTGGATATGAGTGGGGATTTAGGCCTCCCTGTCGTACATACGGATCACGCGCCGTCGCCAGGTCTCCCGTCGCATTAGGTAGTCGCTGATGCCTCCGTGAGAGTTAATCCTCGGTCCTCGGTGTCTGGAGCTACGCAGGACATGAATAGGAGGAGTGAGCTGCTGAGGGGAAAACCCCACCTTAAATTATTCAATCGTCGTCTCTTCAAATTACAAAAACTGTTTCTCCATAAACAGCAGGCAGCATTTAGCAGGATACATTTTGTAATGTTGCAGCCGGGAAAGTGTAAATGCCAAAAATGCAGAAAATAAGTACATTCCCAGAGAGGGGAGTCAAGTACTTCAGTAAAGTGCAGGTGTGGAGAAAGTCTTTCTATTGGCAGATATAGATCAGGCAAACCAGTGCAATGACAGAATCAGGAACATTTCTTTATTTTACACAAACGATTTCCCAGGAAGCTTTCCACCTTTCCATCACACACAGAGGCGTAATGATGCACACTGAGCAGATACACATGTTGCTGGGATCTGTCACCATCTCTCGGGGCACAGAAAGGGCCCACGCTGGCTAATGGACAGACACTCTTTGTGTGCTAAACAAATTAGCTCCATCACTAAGAGACAGACAGCAAGGCGGAGAGAAAGATGCAGAGAGAGAGAGATGCGGCGGTTCAAGATAAAGGATGGAGGAAGATAAATGCAGCGAGGGGCGCAACGTAAGAAGCGACAAGATTCGTGCACAATACACAATGACTAAGAGGGCCGTTGTCTTATCAAACACAACTCTGTGTTTCAGTGTGTATGTGTGAGCCGGGCGAGACATCGAAGCGCTTTGAGCCCTTGTGAGAGAGGGTAAATGGGCATTATCATCCATCCATCACTCACACATTACTCATTCACTTACTTACACTCAGAAACACCCCCCCACACACACACACATACACACACAGCACATACATGA